GTTTACATGAACAGATTTTCTAGTAGACATATGATGGTTGATGAACTACATGAATATTTTTATTTAGTCAGTAATCTGGATATAATGCAAATAAATACCCCATATAAATAGGGGACGGGCAGAGGCTTCTATCCTGATCAAGGCTGTGTGACTTTGAATAAGTCATTTAATTTCTCTGAACCCTGATTAATCCTGTCGAAAAAATGATAGGTTAAATTAGATTATCCGTTATAGTGCCTTTTATGTATTATGTCCTATGTGGATACTTCAAAAAGTTTGTGGAAAAATGGAATTGAAAGATAATATAAATCCTTCTAAGAACTTTTTGAAAACCCCTCATATACCTCTTCAAAATAAATAAAAGTAATTTTTAAAAATATTGATTGGCCTTCAATAAATATATATTGTTTGTATTATTATACACAATCTTACAAAGCTCATGGCATTAATAAGTTATACATCTGTCTGTATCTTTCACCTGATAATTCTGCTTTTTGTAAATATAACACAAGAATATAACAGGAAAAGGAAAATAATATATGCAAAAGTATTCACATAGCTTTATTTGTGATAGTAAAAATTTAGAAATTAAATATAAAATAGAGTAGAATGTGAAGCTAATTACAGTATTATACATCAATATGAGAGAAGATCATAAATCTATCAAAGGTGATGAGAATTTGAACTATGTAAATACATGAAATTAAGTCTACAAGAACATAAATTAGAAGAAATTTTAAGTATCAATTAAAACTTTTTTACAGTTGTGTCAGAAAACCCAAATCAAACTGGCTTAAAGAAAAAAGGAAATTTATTGAACTATGGAAATGAAAAGCTTAGGAGGCACAAAAATCACCAAAATGGATCATAGACCTCAATAAAAACATAAAATTATAAAACTTCTAAAAGAAAACAGGAGACAGATCTAGGTGACCTTTGGTGGTGAGTTTTTAGATACAATATCAAAAGCAGAATCCATGAAAAAAAATTGATTAATTGCATTTATTAAAATTAAAAACTGCTCTGTGAAAGACTGTGTTAAGAAAATAAGGCCTGGCTGGTTAGCTCAGTCAGTTAGTGCACAGCCTTATAACACCAAGGTCATGGGTTTGGATCCCCGTACGGGCCAGCTGCCAAAAAGAAAAAAAAAAAAAAAGATAAGTTACAGACTTGGAGAAAATTTTTGTAAATACTTATCTAATAAAAGACCTATATCCAAACTATACAGAAAACACTTAAAACTCAACATTAAGAAACCAAAGACCCATTATAAAATGGGCAAACATTATGGACAGACACCTCACCAATGAAGATATACAGATGGCATACACGTGTATGTAAAGGTGCTCCACATCATTGGTCTGGAGGAAATCATGAATTAAAACAACCATGTGGTGTTATAACTACACACCTACTAGAATGGCTAAAAGACAAAAATCAGACAATACGAAGTGCTGACAAGGATGCAAAGCAACAGGGATGTTCATTCATTGCTGATGGAAATGCAAAATAATATAACTCATTTAGAAGACAGTTCGGCAGTTTCTTACGAAGCTAAACACATGATCCAGCAATCACACTACTAGGTATTTACCAAATTGATTTTAAAACGTGTCTACACAAAAGCCTGTTCTCAAATGTTTACAGAAGATTTGTTTCAAAACTGCTGAAAACTGAAAGCCACCATGATGTCCTTCAACAGGTGAATGGATAAACAAATTGTGGTACGTCTATACATCGAGATATTATTCAGTGAAAAGAGGTATAGAAACCTTAAATTCGTATTGACAAGGGAAGGAAGCCAATTGGGAAAGACCACATACTTTATGATTCCAGCTCTATGACATTCAAGAAAAGGCAAAACTATAGAGACAGTGAAAAGATCAATGGCTGTCTAGAGTTTGGTGGGAGAAAAAGGAGGAAATGAGTAGGGGAAGCCCAGGGGATACTTAGAATGGTGAAACTATTCATGTGATGCTGTAATTGGTGAGCACATGACCTTACAAATTTGTCAAAACCCATATACTTTATAGCACAAAAAGCAAACTTTAATGTATGCAAATTAAAAAATCATTTAGGAGGCTAGAAGATTCCAGGAAGGAATTCAGATTGTGACAAGAGAATCTAACTGCAAATGTATAAAACACCTCAAGGAAGGGACTGGGGGGGAAGGTGCTGACTTAAGTAACTTTGGAAATGAACAGAGTTTATAAGGCTAAAGGCAAAAGGAGCTGCAGGAAGCACTGCACTGTGGTTGATGAAGTTTTCCCACAGGAGCGCAGGTTATTCTGACATCACCACACATGTACAGTGGAACTGAATAATTAAGTAAATGGATGGTGGGTCGTGGCAGCCAGATTTCTCACTATTGGAGTGGGAATTTACGGATCAGTAAGGGGAAGAGACTAGAAGGATCCATGCAGTAATCCCCCACAGGAGCGCGGGTTATTCTGACATCACCACACATGTACAGTGGAACTGAATAATTAAGTAAATGGATGGTGGGTCGTGGCAGCCAGATTTCTCGCTATTGGAGTGGGAATTTACGGATCAGTAAGGGGAAGAGACTAGAAGGATCCATGCAGTAATGGATTAGAGTTGGAGACATGATTAAAAATTCATCTTGACCTTAATATAGATACAGATGTTTACACAAAGGATTTTTTTTTTTTTTGGAGTGGGGCAGCTGGCCGCTATGGGGATCCAAGCCCTTGACCTTGGTGTTATCAGCACCATGCTGTACGAGTGAACTAACGGGCCAGCCCTCACATAAAATTTTTCTAGATATGTGCATATACACATGTTAACATATACACATATATTTCCTTCCGCTGTCATTTGGAAGGCCTAAAAGAAAACATACTCCAGTATCCATACACCTTGTACCCAGATCTTAGTTTTCAATTCATTCTCCAGTAAGAGAAACCAGGGCTCCTTGGAGAAACAACTGATTCTAGGACTGGGTTAGGAAATACACAAGATGATCTTGGAGCAAATTCTAGTGCAGAAAGTAAGCAAGTGCTAAACAGAACAAAACAAACGAACAAAACAAACCCACATTATGGGATATACCAAAGGGGCACAGGAGACAACGGAAAGAGCTCTTAATGGCTAAAGCTGGAACAACTTGCAATAAAATAAATGAATTACTGTTGGATTATCATCCAGAAGATTATAAAATGAAAGTTTAAAATAAATATCCTTACGTTCATACTGATATAAATGATTGAATAAATTAGTAAGTGGGGGACAAGAGACAAATTTCCCATGCAAAAGAATTTCAGTGTGCGTAGATACACCATCTTCAAGACAAGGGGGCATAACTCCCATTCCTTAAGTTTGGGCTGCACATAGAGACTTCTTTCCAAATAGCACATTAGAGACGGGAAGGAAAAGAATAGCTTTACAATGGAAAAATCCTGACAAACACCACTTCAGCCAGGTGATCATGGTCAATATTAACAGTCATAAATCATGTTGATAGTATGTATCTTTATATGGCACGATGAGAATGGTACCTTACCTCCGTGATCTTCCTAGAAAAACATCAGATAAATACAATTGAAGGACAACCTACAATATACTGACCAGTACTCCTCAAAACTGTCAAGGTCACAAAAACAAGGAAAAGCTTCAGAAATTGTCATAACCAACAGGAGCCTAAAGGGACATGACAACTAAATGTAATGTGGTAGCCTGGATGGGATTCTGAAATAGGAAAAGGACATTAGGCAAAACTAGGGAAATCTGAATTGTACTTTAGTTAATTATAATGCAACCATATTGGTTCACTAATTGTAACAAATGTACCATGGTAATATAAGATGTTAATGATAGAGGGAACTCTGTGTAGGGATATATATGGGAACACTCTGTACTAACTTCATGATTTTAGAATTTGTAAAATTTCTCTAAAAAATAATGTCTATAAAAAAAAGACTAAAAGGTAGGGAAGGTTTCAGATGTATGTCAAGACTCAATAAATAACACCGAGATCTACTCCCTGGCCCTGCCTCTTCTGGATTGACTCCATGGGTTTCCAACCTCCATGTGGGTTCTCAGCAGCTTCAGACTCAAATCATCACTGCCCAGTAGCAGAAGGAGAGTTTCTTTGCCCAGAACTCAAAAATAAGTCTCATACTTGCATCCTGTTGGCCATGTTTGATATGACATGGGTTATGTACCCATCCTGAAACAGCCATTCAGTTTGGGGAGATGCAGTATGACTGGCTTAGCCTAAGTCATTTGCTCTGCTGTCATGAAGCAACCCAGGAATGGAGTAAGCCTTCCCTTAAGCAAGCGGACATTACAAGTGGGAAAGGGGTGGTTTTCCCAAAGCCAAGAGAGTCACAAGAATGGAAGAGGATGAGATGATGAGCAACATAAATCATAAATGCCCAACACAAATATGCATTTGATGATTTTTCTGTAACACTGCAAAATATGCTCATGATTTTAAAATGTAAAGGAACTAAGATGAAATTTAGTTTATGTCTTATAGATGTCACAATTAGTCATATTCTGTTTTTTAGATTTTATTATAATTCCACATACACATACTGCCCAAACCCTTTAGAGTAGGTTGAAGGAACAAAATACAAACCAACAACTTTACTAGGTTTAATGCACATCTTGCTCAAATTTTTATCTAGAAGGTATGTCAAGTTTACAAAGACATAAGAAGCTTAAATCAGTAATAATGAAAATTTGATAAAAAGTATACTTTTTGTTAACATCAAAGCAGCTCCCCCTATACAAACCATAAGTGTTATGTTAATAAAAATGTCCCTTTGTGAAAATTAGCTCAGATATCGTGACAACTGCTATGTTCAATATGTGTTATGGCAACAAGGTGTTGATGACTGGCATAATAAGACCATGGTGTCACGTAAACATGTGTTTATTTCATCGTTATATCCGCTTTGTGAGTATCACATAGGTGAGGGATAGAGAAAGTTTAGATCTCCTTGTGAAAGCATACACAAAAACTCTTTATTTACCTGTAACAACCATCCGTTTTCCCACAGTAGTAGATATTGGCTCTCGGTATGACACAGATGCCATCGCTAAAGTCTTCCCTGTGCCACTGGATTTTCTTCCTCAGCTTCTTCAGACCAGTTAACCTGCACCAATGACTCCGTAATCCTTGCTCTCCCTGAACTAGGTAGTTGCTAAGGATTCTTTATGACAGGGAAATAGAATGTTCCTTCTAACAGAGTTTAGCATTCCAGTCTCCAACAATGGACAGATACAGCCATTGCTGCATTCCCAGGAATTGCATCCAGGAATAACTTCCCCTTATCTGTCAATATCAAGTCAGAATAGACTTGCTCTGGTACTAGATCTAGAACAGGCTTATGTCCCAGACAGGTTGGTGGGCTCAATCACTTTCAACAAATGTCTTTCAACAGTTCCCAAAGAATGTTCTGCAGAGATACGTAGCAGAAAACAAAACAAACAAAAAACACAAATCATTGTTAAATACATTTGAAAAATACTGGCTAGATCAAATACAATAAAAGGTACATTAATAAATGAATAAGATAATTTTATATGTATTTCTTTCCAGCCTCATATTCCAATACACTTCCTTAATGTACTTCCTGAAACACAACTTATACTTTGGCCACATCAATTTATTTGTGGTTTCCAATCTGTGCAATGCTCTTTCATTCTTCTGAGCCTTTACACGTGCAATTTGCTTTCCCTGTAATGTTCCTATGCAAATATTTCTTGTCCTCTGAGAACTAATTCCTTCCTGAAACACAACTTATACTTTGGCCACATCAATTTATTTGTGGTTTCCAATCTGTGCAATGCTCTTTCATTCTTCTGAGCCTTTACACATGCAATTTGCTTTCCCTGTAATGTTCCTATGCAAATATTTCTTGTCCTCTGAGAACTAATTCCTACATCTCCTCTTCCAGGAGGACGTCTACAGGCACAGCTAAGTACTTTCTTCATGTCCCTTTAACCTCTATAGCATTGTATTTAGACCTATGTTTTAAACTTTTACCACCTTGTTTTAATTATTTATCAATTTTGCCTATCTCCCCAGTAGAATCTGACTTCTAAGAGTTCATACTAAAGCATCATTGTTCATAGTTCAATTTCCAGAGACTGGTATGCACTCAATAGTTAAATGTTTGTGGGATGAGGGCTGGCCGGTTAGCTCAGTTGTTTAGAGCATGGTGCTGATAACACCAAGATCCATGGTTCGATCCCTGTACTGGCCAGTGAACCCCTCCCAACCAAAAAAAGAAGGAAATGTTTGTGGGATGAATAAATAAATAAACAGTTCATTCCAGCCTGCCCAGAAATGTAATATTGACCACCTGATAATCCATTTAATATAAATTCTAACAGTAATTTCAAATTCAACACTAAATATAGGGAGTTCTTTACTGAAAATGCAATACTTTTTGTTTGGAGAGAATTAAACTAAGGACACTATCTATGGAGAGGTTTACTAGTAAGGAAGGCAGAGAGATGTGCCGCCCAGGTCCCCTCAAGGAAGGGCTTGTATCCCAGCTGTGGGAAGTGCTGTCAGCTCTGTCGTGGTCAGCTTTAGCTGCAGAGAACTGCCTCTTCTGTTTGAGGTCAAGCCCTTTCTGGGGCAGCCTGTGTCAGGAGACTAAGTGGGGTGGGAACATAGGCCAGTTATTTCAGCTTCCCTTGGGAAAATTCTTCACCTGGTCGGTTGAGCCTTTGTTAAGCCCTCCTCGCAGTTCAACTTCTTCCTCTGCTCAATCTTGTTTCCTCTGCTTTCCCTTCACAGGTGTAGATCCCAAATAACCATCTTGCCCCCCACTTCCAGAGAACCCAACTTGAGACAACTAGACAACATAGATCATACACACACAAATGCATTATATTTTTTGCTGACATCTTTGGGATAGATTCCTAGAAGTGACATTGGGGAAAGACATATATAATTTTGCTCTATATTGCTTAGCACCCATTGAATAGCTGTTTTTTTTTAGTAGTTGGCTGGTATGGGGAACTGAACCCATGACACCGGTGTCATAGCACCATGCTCTAACCAGCTGAGCTAACCAGCCAGCTCATGGTTGTATCATTTTGTATCCTATCCACAATATCTGAGAATGCCTATTGGCCTATTTTCACACAGCCTCACTTACAGAGTATGTTGTCAAACTTTCTGATTTTTGCTGAAATGACAAATAAGAAATGGTAACCTAGTAATTTACATTTCTTTCCTATTAGCATGATTATTATCATTAGCATGATTGAATGTCTTTTCTTACGTTTAAGTACCATATTTTTTAGTAGTTGGCTGGTGTGGGGAACTGAACCCATGACACTGGTGTCATAGCACCATGCTCTAACCAACTGAGCTAACCGGCCAGCTCATGGTTGTATCATTTTGTATCCTATCCACAATATCTGAGAATGCCTATTGGCCTATTTTCACACAGCCTCACCTACAGAGTATGTTGTCAAATTTTCTGATTTTTGCTGAAATGACAAATAAGAAATGGTAACCTAGTAACTTACATTTCTTACCTATTAGCATGATTATTATCATTAGCATGATTGAATGTCTTTTCTTACGTTTAAGTACCATTTGCATCATTTTATATGAACCTTCCACTCTTATCTCTTGTATATTTTTCAATCAAGTTTTTTACTTTTTTCTTTCCTGCTTTTATTTTTTGGCAGCTGGCTGGTACAGGGATCTGAGCCATTGACCTTTGTGATATAACACCACACTCTAACCAACTGAGCTCACTGGCCAGCCCTTCTTTCCTACTTTTAAAAGAATGAGCTAACACTCTAAATAGTGACAACAGACACATAAACAGAATTAAAATAAAACATAGCAAGGATAATAATGGCTACAGACACTCTAACCAACTGAGCTCACTGGCCAGCCCTTCTTTCCTACTTTTAAAAGAATGAGCTAACACTCTAAACAGTGACAACAGACACATAAACAGAATTAAAATAAAACATAGCAAGGATAATAATGGCTACAGTAATACATTTCATAAAGACCTAATTTGTTCCTGCAGTCATGGGAACAGAAAAGAAGATCACATGCCCCAGCCTGGGATGGAGGATGGGGGCTCACAGTGGTGAGGCAGGATTTCCTTGAGGACATGGTATTTGCATTTGTTTTAGAGAAATGACAAGGACCTACACAAAGGACAAAGAGGAGGAGGATAGGGTGGGTGGGAGGACATTTTGGACACAGGGACTATTTGAGCAAAAGTCTCAGAGGGGAGAAACACCCAACAGCACTGTGCATGACAAAAAGTCCAGCATTGCTGGAGAGCCATGACTGAGAGGGTAAGCTGGCTGATGAGGTGGGAAAGACTCTGTAAGCCATGCAAGGAGCTTGGGCTTCATTCTGCAGGCAATGAAGACCCCTGAAGCATTTGAAACAAGGTAGAGATTTGTCAGTCTTGGGTTTTAATAGAAGATGCTTGACTGTGTGGAGAACAGGCTCAAGGAGAAAAGCTTGTAGTCAGTGGCCCCAGCAGGCAGCTGTTGAAGCGGTCCATGAAAGTGGAGATGAGGGAATGAACCAAGTCATGGGTGATGTGAATGAAGGAGATATATTTGGAACATGTGCTGAATAGAGGCTATATCCAGTAAGGATGTTCTAGTGTGGCTGACTGGGAAGTAGTAGTACCCCCAAGTAAGACAGAGAAAACAGACTAGCACACATGGCATCCTAGGCAGGAGCTGTGGGCAGCCCCCACTGCCTGGCAGAAGGCAAGAGCGTGCCAAAAACACAACTTAAGTGTGGGTGGTCCAGCACAGCCACTGACACAGCCACTGCTGCCACAAGGGTGGCTCGCCACCACATTAGCAGCCATACCCACAGTGCAGGCAGCCCACCATGCACTCAACTGCATTGACACAAGGAGAGTCATCAACAGAGACCAGAAAAAGAAGAGGCATTCTCTCTCCTCAAAGACCACTCCAGAGTGATAGAAGCAACTGCTCTACCAGATGACTGGACATCAACATAGAGATACTAGAAAAAAAAAACCCAAGAAAATATGATACCACCAAAAGAATACAATAATTCTCAAATACCAGACCCTATAGAGCAGGAAATTCTTGAAATGACTGAAAAGGAATTCTGAGCAACAACCTTAAAGAAACTCAGTGAGATAAAAGAAGACTCAGACAACATAATAAAATGAGAAAAAAAACCATCCAAGATATAAAGAGGGAAATTTACAAAGAGATTAATACCTTAAAAAAGAATGTAACAGAACTCATGGAACTGAAAGATTCACTCAATGATATAAAAAAACATAACTGAGAGCTTAAGCAGCAGGATAGAACAAGCAGATGAAATAATTTCTGATTTTGAAGATAGTCTTTTCTAAATAACCCAGGTGGACAAAAAAAAAGAAAAAAGAATTTTTAAAAATGAAGAAAATCTAAGAAGGCTAGTAGACAACTTAAGTGCACAAACATTCAAATCATGGGTATTCCTGAAGTGGAGGAAAAAGGAAAAGGCATTGAAAAGCTATTTGACAAAATAGTAACAGAAAACTTCCCAGGTACAGTGAGAGACATGGACCTTCAGATACAGGAGGCTCAAAGATCCCTGAACTGATTCAATCAAAAAAGGTCCTCTCCAAGACACATTATAATCAAACTGGCAAAGCTCAAAGATAAAGAGAGAAAACTAAAAGCAGCAAGAGAAAAACATCTAGTCACTTATATGGCAGCCCCTATCAGACTAACAGCAGATTTCTCACCAGAAACTCTATATGCCAGAAGAAAAGGGGATGATATATTAAAATACTAAAAGAAAAAAACTGTCAGCCAAGAATACTATATCCAGCAAGATTATCCTTCAGAAATGAGGGAGAATAATGTATTTTCCAGACAAACAAGAACTGCAGGAGTTCACCACCACGCAACTGGCCCTGCAAGAAATCTTCAAGGGAGTCCAGCATCTGGAATCTGAAAAATGATAATCACTACCATGAACACATGAGAAAGAACAAAAACCACAAGGTTGAACAAAAATGCAAATGAGAAAGAGAAAGAAACTGTATCTTACTACCTCCAAA